TGAGCTAACATGACTGGAGGAGGAATTCTGGGAGTTGAAGTCCACAAGTCTTAAAGCTGTCAAATTTGAAGACCCCTGGTCTATCATCTATGTCTGTCTGTCTGTCTGTCTGTCGTCTCCCATCCATCCATCCATCCATCCACCCATATCTATCTGTCTGTCTGTCTGTCTATCTAGCTATCCATCAATTCATCCATCCGTCCATCCATCAATCATCTATCACAAGGGTCTTCAAACTTGGCAACTTTTAAGACTGGTGGACTTCAACGCCCAGAACTCATGAGCTAACATGACTGAAGGAGAAATTCTGGGCATTGAAGTCCACCAGTCTTCAAGCTGCCAAGTTTGGAGACTTCTGATCTATGAACTTGGGAGCATTCCTGGCGATTATGAAAGGTGTGAGGCAACGCCGTAACAACAAGGCCCAAGAAGCAATTAAACTATTTAAAATTCTGGTTTGATGCTGTCTGGTGCTCAGTCCTGCCTCCCCACAGGCTTCAAAGCCACCCAATTAAAATCCACAAAATCCATAAAAGGAATCCCCGAAGCAACTTTGGGGGGGTCTCAAAAGACCAGAATTCAACTGGCGTTTCCTCCAAAGGCTTCTTAGAGCCTTTGGCCTCTGGCCAAAGCAGATCCCTTGAGGGACTTCCGGCTGCACTGGACCTTGTTAGATGGGGGTGTTTCTTCCCCAGGGAGAAATTAATCTTGGTTTGGCTTTTCTGTTCTGGCAATATCCACCCTCAGCCTCAATAAAAAATGTGCAAATTTAAACAAAATATTTGGGACATCTAAATGGATAGAGACAATTTCTCACGTCCACCTCGCTGCAGGTCCTATCACCATTATTGGGACTATCCCCAATGTTTGACATGTTTGACAAGAGGGGTTTTCCTTCCCCCCACACCAAAATTATGGGCTCCCATTAGTTTAGTTTACTTTATTGTCATTGCACCTCGTACAACAAAATCAAACACCATCTTCAGTGCACATCATGACCATGACCATGAAAATAAACACAAACACACATCCTTCACACCCTCCACACATTGAACCGGAAACCTTCGACACCACACCGACACTGCACTATACAGCAGAATTCAAAAGAGCTACTGCCCTGGGATAGAAGCTGTTTTTATTATCCTGTACCGTCTGCCAGATGGTAATAGTTCAAAAAAAGGGGTGCCCAGGATGAGATGGATCTGATGTTTTGAACTTTCTTAAGGCAGCGGGAGCTATAAAGCTCTTCCAAAGAGGGGAGAGGGCAACCCATGATCCTCAGGGCAATGACATTAACCCTCTGGAGCGCTTTCCTATCTGCTACTGTGCAATTGGCAAACCATACAGAGGTGCAGTAAGTTAAGATACTCTCTATGGTGCAGCGGTAGAAGGTCACCAGCAGTTTCTCCTTCAGTTGTTGGATATGGATAAATTGCCTTTCTTTGTATAATTCCAACTTGTGTAGGCTTTGATATGGAGAGTAACTCTAGATCACAAGTTCAATCAATCAGAATAGAGCTGGAAGGGACCTTGGAGGTCTTCTAGTCCAGCCCGCAGGAGAGAACTGTGTTGCTAAAGTGCCCAGTTGTGAAAAAAAAAAAACCCTCTTTTCTCACACTCTAGGTGTTAGTGCTCTCTTTTTTGCAGTGACCAATTTCTAGAGGCCTCCAAGAAGGTTGCCAGATTCCTATCAGGATTAAGACTTAACAGTCATTTCATCCATTCCTTCCATTATTGTCTTTTAACTCTCTGTCTATATCACAGGTGGGGAACTTTGGCCCTTTTATGGCTGGCTCAGGAGTTCTGGGAGTTGAAGTCCACAGGTCATAAAAGGGCCAAAGTTCCCCAACCCTACAAGGGTCTTCAAACTTGGCAAGTTTTAAGACTTGTCGATTTCAACTCCCAGAATTCCTGAGCTAACATGACTGGAGGAGGAATTCTGGGAGTTGAAGTCCATAAGTCTTAAAGTTGTCAAGTTTGAAGACCCCTGGTCTATCATCTATGTCTGTCTGTCTGTCTGTCGTCTCCCCATCCATCCATCCCTATCCATCTATCTATCTATCCATCCATCCATCCCTATCCATCCATCCATCCATCCATCCATCCATCCATCATCTTTCACAAGGGTCTTCAAACTTGGCAAGTTTCAGACTTATGGACTTCAAGTCCCAGAATTCCTGAGCTAACATGACTGGAAGAGGAATTCTGGGCGTTGAAGTCCACAAGTCTTAAAGCAGCCAAGTTTGAAGACCCTTGTTCTAGGTCTTTCCTCATGTGCGTAACACAACATTGCCTCGTTGGTTGTGGTGTGTCAGTCCAGGGTAGTGATTAGCTTTTGTTGTAATTCTTCAAAGGATACATCAAACCCTGGTGCACTTTTCAGGCTGAATTCATCTGCCTTGGGCAGTATGAGGCTCCAAAGAGTGGCAACTACATAGAGTAAACACACCCAGGGGGTACAAAAACAGGCACTGAACGGCCAATTGGGATGTGTGGGGTAGCTGGGGGTATATGTGTGGAGAGATGAGGGGCACCAGGGTGAGTCTTGCTGGGGCTTAATCCCTGGTGGGTCTGGGTAGTCCTCTACAGTAGGGGTCTCCAACCTTGGCAACTTTAAGACTTGTGGACTTCAACTCCCAGGATTCTAGCAAAGCTGGCTGAGAAATCCAGGAAGTTGGAAGTCCACAAGTCTTAAAGTTGCCAAGGTTGGAGACCCCTGCTCTATGGTGACAGGATGCTACCTTCAGCTGGAGAGTTGTGGCTCAAGCAGGGCTATCTCCCTCTTGTAAGAACACACTCACTCTCTCTCTCTCTCACACACACACACACACAAGAGCTACATAACAACCCTCCCCAGGTGCCCACCTTCTCCGCCCTCCCATTCTGTTGACTTAATTCTCTTTTTTTTGTCCCTTTTGCTCACAAACAAACACACATACACACACTTAAAAAACATTGTGGGGAGCAAAATGGGATCTCTGACTGGTCTCCAAGTATGTCACACTTTTCACCAGGGACTGTGAGGTGCAAGAAATTAATAGGAGATAAATAAGTGCAGAGAACAAACTGATAATGAAGGGCAGAAATTAAGTGTGCTTTGGGGGGTAATTAACTGCTTGCCCTCCTTAAAGTATGGTAGTAATCAAGTCCAAATATACTTATGCATATATTAGTAGGTTAGCACCATTAGACATTTAAACCTTGCACAAAATGTTGATGTGGCTAATTATTTGGGAGGCCCCACCACACGCATGCAGAGAGATTTCATCATTCCTAGTTCCCAATCCGTTTCATGCCGAACCAGAGAAAATGCATCAAACTATTTAACAATATGGATATTTTTAAGTGCTAATTTGCATAGTGAGCCACAGAATTCCTGCTCTGCAAAAGGAATTCCCCACCGTTTCCCCCATCCCTCCCACCAAGGGGCCTGCAGCAGCTTCCTCCAGGGAGATGCCCCAGGAATTGAGGACTCCCGGGGTTCCTCGTGAACCCCTGCTTCCTTGGCTGGGACTCTGAAGTCCCAGAGTCCCTTTTTGAATGAGCCCACTCCCACCCTCTGGGCAAGGGCCAAGACTGACTCAAAATGGCCGACAGAGAGAGATCCACCAAGGGTCAGGTCACTCGGAGGAAGGAGGGGTTAAGGGACCCCCATTTGGAACAGGCTAGTCCAGGGGGAAACTGCCACCTCCTCCTGCCCACAGGAGCAGGTAAGACTAAGCTGAGCTTTGCAGAAGTTGGCAGTCAAGGCTGTCTTCCTTGGAAAATATTGGCAGTGGCCCCTGGCCTCTGCTGTCTTAGACACGAGAGGGTTAATTCAAAGTGAAAACTAGTTTAATTATTATTATTTACTAGCTCGATACCTGAGCTTCACTACAAAACTATATGATCGAGCTTAGTTTTGGGGAAGGAAAATAAGGGGTGGGGGGGGGGGGGAATTCTGCCTCTGCCTACCAGCATCCATCGGTATTTATCCGGCTAGCATCCTGTTAGTGTGTGAGAGTTGAGGTCTGTTTGGAAACTGTGTGAGCAAGAAGGAGACAGCAAGGAGCCTGGGCGTGGCTTAGCTCAACTGTTCTGTACTAAAGCTGGTTGCTGCTGTGAAACTAAAACGGAAACTCCTCTCCTCTGCTTGTGTTTTGCCTTTGGAACAGATTTCTTTTCAGGTGGGGAGGGGGAGTAGAACTCCTTAGCATCAGAGCGTGTTAATAATAATATGCAAAATACTAATGCTCTGATGGTCATTTCGAAAAATCCTTTCTTGTTGAGCAGCTAGAAGCCAAGAGGAACATAGGTGCCGAATTTCAAGTTTGTAGGCTTTAAGGTTCTGGAGATTTTGTGACGATGCGTGAGGAGTCTTTTGCTTTTATATATAAAGAAGATAGAAGGAGATTAAATTTATTTGCCGGGCAGTGCATAATAGATTTGAGAAGGGAGTCCTGGGGGGGAGGGCAAGAGGGGTGCCCTAGCAAAGCAACCAGGAGCTGGTGCAGAAGAACCTCATCCATGGAGTCTGCTAGTCCCCCCACTTAAAAAGGGAGCATTTGGGAGGAGAGGAGGCAAAGGGGCCTTCCTCCAAGGAAGGGATGGGAACCCCCATGCCCAGTCAGAGCAGCCCCACCCATTCTGGGGAGAAAACTCAGCTCCCCAGTCCCAATTGTTTGTGTGGGGGGGTGTTGCTAGGAACAAGGCAGGGGCCGGAGCCTTGCAAGGGGACCGGATGACAGATGGCTGGGAAGGCCGAAAGGGAGCAGGGAGGAAGTCCAGCCAGAGAAAATCCCAAGGCAGAAAAAGGCCATTTGCGGCCCTTCAGACTCTGCCAGAATCCGCACGGAGAGCAGCTCGAACTGCCCAGGAAGGCAATCAACTCGATCTCAACTCGAGCATTGAACTGGATCTGTTTATCTGAGCGGGATTTTTTGCAAAGAGAAAACCGCCCAGGAGGGAAACGCTCTTGGTTTCAGGCGAGACGAGGGCCCGAGCAGGGACAGAGAGGCTACCTTTGTGACGAAGAGTGTGCGGGGGTCAATAATGTCCAGGAAGTGTCTCAATCTGCCGTAAAACGAGCCCTGTGAGGAGACAGAAGCAGCGGTCAGAATTCTGGCACTTAACCCCATTTAAACCATGAGTCTTGAGTCAAACTTCCAAAGCTTCAAAAGGATTTATTGGGAGTTAACATGTCCGGCACTGCCTGGGTGTAGCTGACTCTGAGACACATCATTCATAGTCACTCTTCACCCTGGTTTTTCTCCCCACCCCCTGGATGTATCATAATCCATATTCTCCAATGGGACACATCCATAGCCAAGAGTCATCCATCATACTCTCCAGTTAGAATTTTGCATGGCAGAAACTTCAGTCACCTGGAAACTATCTTTGAAAACATTTAGGGAATGCACTTCTGTTTTTGCAACCTGCTGCATTGCTCCCCCCTCCCTTTTTGTTATCAACTCTAAAAAGAAATATTTTATGAGGTGACAGCAGTGGCATCAGGACCAGAGGGCCACCCATCCTCAAGACCCTCCTTCCTGCTCTGACCCAGGGACCCCTGGCAGCCTGCCGCCTCTTCTCCAATGCAAAAAGCACCTGTGGCCCCCACAGAAGAGCCCAGACCACCAAAGCTCTTCATGCCAAAAGGCCCGGGGCTCCAAGGCCCCTTCCTCACTGCTGAGGCTATAAGTGCAGGTGCCATTTGGGGCCCAGCTTCAACCCCCCCGCCCCATATTACTGGTGACCAGGGGTTCCTGGGAGGTCTCGGGTGACCCCTCTGGTCCCTCAGTGTGGGGGACACAGCTCCCTAAGATTCCTTTTTGTTCCAGACACTGAGTTCAGCACAGAGGCCACTCTGGGGGCGTTCCTACTGCCCCAAACCAGGATATTTGGGGGGTGGGGGTGACTTCAAGCCCCCACTTTTGAACCTGAACCTCTCAGACCTTTGTAAACAGCCGTGGCCTCGGTCAAGAAACTCGGACACTGCCAGGGACGGCATCTCAAAGAGCTGAGGTTGGCGCTTTGGAAGGAAAGCGGGAATTGCCCTCCGCCCAGCACACTGGATCTTCCCCTCCTCTTCAGAGGCAGCCTGAGCAATGGGGACCCTTCCATGGAGACCCCGAGAAGCCCCCCATATCCCCTCCAGCAGTGGCACAGCAGAGGGCGAGGCCCCCGTGGTTGCTGGCCATAGAGCTGCCCTCTTCTGTGCCTCTGGAGCAGGAATTGGGATTGTCTGTCTGGCGAAGGCTGCTCTGCTCCACAAGCCATGGAAATAGCCTTGTCTGTGCTTGGATTCTGAAGCAGGAACACATCAGGCGGCCCCACGCAACGGGCCCTAGTTAGACAGCCCTCGGCCGTCCCTGGGGCACCCAGACACTTCACATCTCCCTGGTGCAATAGCTGCTCCGGAGGGGCTCCTCAGAATCCACACCAGCATTGCCAACGGAGGTCGGCACCCCCTGCCCACCTGTGTGCATCGCACAACCCTGACTTCCCGGGAGCCTTGCTCAGGGGGGCACTGCAGACGCAAGCCCTTCCACCAGTCCTCCCTGCAGGAACCTCAGCCCACCCCAAGACCCAGTGGTGTATGAACCATTAAGCAGACTAAGCACGGGCTTAGGGCACCAGGTCCGAAGGGGGCATCACGAAGTTGAGAAAAGGGCTTCATTTGTACAGTATGTGGTTGTGGTTCGCCGGCAGACAGTGCAGATGGCAGCGGAAAGGGACAGTGGGGAAGAAAGGGGACCAGTCCAGGAGTCTGGAGAGGACTCGGACGATCCAGGGATGGGGCCAGGACTATCTGGGAGTGGGGTGCTGCCTTTGGAGTCTGGCAGCAGCGAGGCAGAGGAACAAGGGGAGCCTGTTCCCAGTGCGCGTATGCACAGAGCTGCTAGAAGGCGAGAGCAGCTGAAACAAAAGGGGCAACTCGGGAGAAAAGCTGGGAGGTGATTGCCCCTCCCATAAGGGATAAAAGTCAGGCCTCAATGACGAAACCTTTGCAGGAAGTAAAGTAGTTTGATCGGTTCTGAGTCCTCCTTGAAGCTCTGTGTACTTCGGTTGGTTTCTTTTATAGTTATTTGGATACTTCTGTTTTTGGCCACATTCCACAGAACTGAAAGGTGGTGTGCTTATCTTGGGGAACTGTTTTAAGGTTAGTTCTGGATGGGAATGGAAAGAAATCCCCCGTGTTGCAATAAAATACGTTTTGCTTTTAAAACAAGCTTGCGGTTAATTACGTTTGACGGAGCCTGGGTCAGAACAGGCAGCAAGATTTGTCAGTGCTTTAGGGCACCAGTAAGCCTTAATCCTCCACTGCCGAGACCCCCGTCCTGGAAGGGCTCCATGACGGACCCTTTCTAGCAGAGCGTCCTTGCACCCCCAAACCCAGGCAGGTGCCCATCCCGTCCCGTGGGGCACTTCAAAGTGGCCATTCACAGCCCGCCCCTTAATGAAGCGAGCTCAGAGGAATTCATCCCTCCCAGGCCCTGCCCAAGCCCAAAGAGTTTGAAGAAAAACTCCCATTAATCAGCTCTGGGGGGAGAAAAAAATACAACATTTTTTTTTAATTGGTGCAGAACACCTCCAGCTTCTCCCTCTCACATGGCTTGGCTCACTTACAAAAGAATCAAAACCAATTAAGCAAATCTTTTCATAAAATAAATTAGTTCTGGGCAGAGACACAGCAGAAAACAAAAGCAGCCGCTCTCGTTAGCTCAACGAACCAGACAGCTGGCCCGGCTCCCCTCGCCTGGGCCATGCCTGCTACGCTGGCAGACCGTCTCAGAACCGGCTCCGTGGACCCAGACGGTGGATCCTCAGAGAACGAACGTCGCTGTCAGCAAGAGACGGCCACGCTCTTCTGGGCTCTTCCGACTCTAAGCGGTTTCTCCAGCAAATGCCAGAGGAATCAAAAGCCGCCATTATCTCCCTCTCAGACCTCCTTGAAGGGTTGGCCATTAGTAGCCGGGCCACTTCCCCGCCTGCCCAGGGACCCCAAGATGAATTCCCACCATCTTTCACTTCTTCTCTCCTCTTTTTCTCACCCAAATATTTAAAACAGGGTTTGGATGGTTCGTTCCTGAATTTGGGGGGAAATGAGCCCCCTTTTCTAAGGCTTGGGACAATATCAGGTCTTCTCCATTCTTCTGGCGTTTCCTGTGGACCTCCCAGCACTGTCAAAGGCTACGGATGATGTTCCTGAGATCACACGGGCTGCTTCCTTCCACAGCCTACAACAGAGGTCTCCAAACTTGGCAACTTTTAAGACTTGTGGGTTTCAATTCCCAAAATTCCTGAGTTAACATGACTGGAGGAGGAATTCCGGGAGTTGAAGTCCATAAGTCTTAAACGTTGCCAAGTTTGAAGACCCCTAGTCTTATCATCTATCTGTCTGTCTTTTATCTACTGTCTCCCCATCCATCCATCCATCCATCCATCCACCCATCCTTATCTATCTATCTGTCTGTCTGTCTGTCTGTCTATCTATCTATCATCCATCCATCACAAGGGTCTTCAAACTTGGCCAGTTTAAGACTTGTGGACTTCAACTCCCAGAATTCCTGAGCTAACATGACTGGAGGAGGAATTCTGGGAGATGAAGTCCACAAGTCTTAAAAGTTGCCAAGTTTGGGGACCCCTGGTCTAGGAAGCAACCCATCGGAGGCCTGAAGTCATTCAAAGCAGCTGCTCTCCCCTCCCCACTGCCTTGTCCAGGTTGATCTCCCTGGACCTCTGCTCCCCACAGAGACCCTCCCGGCAAGTCGGGCTCCTTTTCCTTCTGCAAAAAGACTGGTGCAAAACAGCCATTAAGTCTTCCAGTCACCCCCGCCCTCCTCTCCAAATGGTAGACCCTCTGCTTCCTTCACCTCTGTTGCTCCACGCATACCCAAAGAACCTTCGTTGTTGTTCATCGCCCATGCTGACCCTTTGCCTCCCTGACTCCATCCGGGCAGCCTCGGGTTATTTGCTGGTGTTCTGCTTTCTCTACGGGTCCCCTTCCCATTGGAGCCCTTTTCTGAGTCCACCAGAGAGCTCTTGGTGCAACTAGGGTGGCCTCATTGGGGAGGATTCCCATTTTGGTTTCTCTTTGGAATTGACTGGGTTTTGGCTTTAAGGATCTTATTTTTTCAGGTTTCCCAACTCTCCCCAACTGTTTTTAACCCCCAGGTTCCTTCATCCATGGAATCCTGCCTGGTTTGGTCTCCACTCTCTCGAAATCTAAAGCAGGAATCTGCAATCTCATGTTCTCCTTGCCTGGAAGGTGATGGGACCCTGGGGTGGGATTCAAATTTTGTAACAACCGGTTCTGTGGGCGTGGCTAGGTGGGCATGGCCATATGACTGGGTGGGCGTGGCCTTTTTTTTTTTTTTGGCAGCACCCCCCTGCCCTCCATTTTTGGGCCTCCTTGGCCTTAGGGAAGCCTCCGGCTGGGGGGGGCGTTTTTGTCCCTAGAGGCTTCCCTGGGGCCCAGGAAGGTAAAAAACGGAGCGCCAAGGGGCCGGGGTGCAGCGCACAGACATCCCGTGTGCCCATTTTTGCCTCCTGGGCAAAGCTGGGGATGGATGGATGGATAGGTAGGTAGGTAGGTAGGTTAGATAATGGGTGGGTGGGTGGATGAATGGATGGATGGGGAGATGATAGACAAACAGACAGACAGATGCTAGATCAGGGGTCTTCAGTCTTGGCAAGCTTAAGACTGGTGGACTTCAACTCCCAGAATTCCTCCTCCAGTCATGTTAGCTCAGGAATTCTGAGACTTGAAGTCCACCAATCTTAAACTTGCCAAGTATGGAGACCCTTGGGATAAATGGATGGATGAATGGATGGATGGAGGTCAGACAGACAGACATGGGGATGGATGGGGAGACGACAGACAGACAGACATAGATGGTAGACCAGGGGTCTTCAAAGTCTTGACATCTTCAAGACTGGTGGACTTCAACTCCCAGAATTCCTCCTCCAGTCATGTTAGCTCAGGAATTCTGGGACTTGAAGTCCACCAATCTTAAACTTGCCACGTTTGAAGACCTTGTGATAAATGATGGACGGACGGATGGACAGATCGAGAGATAGATGATAGATAGATGGATGGATGAATAGATAGATAGATAGATAGATAGATAGATAGATAGATAGATAGATAGATAGATATAGACAGACAGACAGACAGACAGACAGTGAGGCGGATCCCGGCACAGCTGATCATCAGAAAAGCTGATCCTCGGGAATGGGAAAAAAGAGAAAGAAATACCTTAAGGAGTGACTGGGCGGAGGAGAATGCAGTCAGCGATGTTGGGCATGCGCGATAAGGACTGGGTGGGGAGGGGAGGGGTGGGGTGGGCAGAGAGAGGCGGGGCCAACCAGGGGTACGATTTGCCGGTTCTCCGAACTGCGCAGAATCATAACAACCAGTTCTATAGAACTGGTCCAAACCGGTAGAATCCCATCCCTGGGTGGACTCCCCTGCTCAAGCCCACCCCCCTAAAGACACAAGCTCCATTGCCGCAGGTCAATGCTTCTCTGCTTCTCTGGGGTACCTGGAGCCTTCTGTGCTCCTCCCCTCCCCAAATTTCCATGCACCCTCTAACCCTTTTATTGGGGCTGCAGGCTCCCCAAAGCTGCTCCCCCCCCCCCCCACTTGGACAAGAGCAGCAATCCTGGAGTGAAAGAGGATGCCAGAAAGATGGGATAAAAATAGGGAAATCTTCTGTTTGGCTCCCGGGCCAAACTCTGCCTATTCTTCCTGTTCGCTCCCTTGGTGACGTGAGTCAGCAAGACCCCCAAAGGGAGGACCCCCCCCCCAAGAGGACCACCAGCCCCCTTTCAGCAAAAGGAGCAAAACAGCCTTGAGGAAGAAGCACAGACTGCCCCTCCCAGACGCTTCAGAGAGTTCAAGGTCTGGAGGAAACGCCCAGATAAGGTTTTTTTTTTCCCACTCTTGTTATTACCTGGGCAGGTAGAAGCCGGAAGGCAATTCTGCACTGGCAAGCAAAGTCCAAGGTTTAGTGATATTTATGGTGGCTGAACTTTGGATACAATCTGTGGCAAACCAACTGGGCTACTTCTTGGGTGGCGGGGGGAGAAGTAGGACACGAGGCATCCCTTCCAATGAAGAGGGCCTGCTGCCAAGGCCAGGGTCCAGCAGAAAGCAAAGCAAGACACTGGTTCTGCCTCTCAGAATGGCAGACATTACCCAATGGCAGATCGGGGACCCCCCACACACACACCCCAAGCAGCCTGGAATACACCTCCCACCCACCCACCCTGCAAGCAGGGCACCTTCGCTCCCTAAAGGCTGGCCCTGCCAGGCAGGAAGACCCAGGCAGGCCCCTGGTCAGGTGGCAGAGGGAGGAGGAGGAGGAGGAGGAAGGGCTCCTTGGGCTGAAACTGGCCCCATCCTCGCAAAGGATTCGGCTGCCCCAGAAGCTGCCCCCCCCACATGGGCCAAGGATCGGGGGGGGGGGGGCTCGGGGCGGGGGAGGGAGGGGGAGAACCGGGGGGGGGGGGCAATTTCCTCCCTGCAAAGGGGAGAGGGATTCAGGGCCGGGAGGGGAGCCGGCTGCTCTGCTCCCCGGCCCCTTCTGCAGCTTTGCCAAGGGAGATGCCCAGATTAAGAGCCGAGCCCGGCCCGGCTTTGGGCAGCGCGGGCTCTGAGCTGCAGCTCCGACTGCGGCTTCCCCACTTGCCCGCCCGCCCCCTCCGCCCTGCTGGGTAAAGGTGGTGGGCAGCTCCCACGACCCCCCCTCTCGCAGGGGAGGTTGCCCCCAAACCCTGGCACAGCTACCACCGGCTGCCCTGCCTCTTCTAGAGACGCACCCTTGCCCCCCTCTCGTGCTAGGGGCTGCAGCGGCCACTTCCTCTAAGATCCCCCGCCACCCGCACCGAAATTCGAACTCGCCACCAAAGGAGCAAAACCAGTGCCAATCAAAAGCCCTTCCCTGCATCCAGAAAAGGGCGGGAATTCCAGAAGGCGAGCGACAGCGGCGGCGCCCAATCAGCGGGAGGCCTGGCGGCGCGGGGGCGGGAGTCGCTCTTCCCCGGCAGCGGAGCCCCTACCCCTCCCGGCGAGGGACGGCCGAGCGCCCGCCCGCCCGGCACGGCGCCCCCTCCCCGATGCCAGCGCGCGCAGCCCCGCAGCCCACCTGCTCGAAGCGGGGCTTCCCCAGCTGGAAGGCCGGGTACCCCGCACTCTCCGCCATCCCCGCTCGGCGCCACTTTCGCGTGAGAAGTGCTCCTCGCAGCCTGGCTCCGCCCCCAGCCCCGCCTCCGCGCCCCCGATTGGCTGAGGTGCACCGCAGCTCGCGCGGAGCCTGCTGGGGCTCGTAGTTTCCTCGGGCGCCGCAAGGGCCGGGCGCGGCCCCGCCCCCTCCGCGACAGGGGAGACTTGGGAAGCGTAGTTCTCCGCACGGGGCGGGAGTGCGCCGACCCTCCGCACCTTCCCCAAGCAGGAGCCCCGCGGGCGCCGGGACTGGGGAACTACGGCCCTTTCATAACTTGCGGACTTCCTATAATTCCTGGAATTCCGGGGCCATAAAAGGTTCCCCACCCCTGCAATAGCTCAACCAGCAGGGAATCCTGGGAATTGGTCGCTCTCCGTGCTCTTAACTTTTATTAAAGATTATTTTAAAGAAGCTAATACTAATATAAAGTAAGGAAGAAAAAGCAAAAAGTGCAAGAAAAGAAAAACCTTTGGGGAAAAAGTAGCTTCTGGTATTCTTCATATCACTTTTACTTACTGATTAAGAGTTGGAAGGGACCTTGTAGGTCATCTAGTCCAACCCCCAGCCCAAGCAGGAGACCGTACACCCATTTCTAACAGATGGCAGTCCAGGTTAACTTCTCTAAAATTATTGCTCTTGTTCTATAATTCATCCTAAACCTCTATCACCAGTCTCTTTTTTTCATTTTTACACCAAGTCTGTAAGTGTAAATAACACTTCTTCTCTAATTAAAGAAGCCAGTTTACCCATCTCGGGGAGATCTGCCCAATTTCACCAGTCCTGGAGGGCAGTGCCAGATCTTCCCATTTCCATGCATATAATCTTCTCTCCAGGGCAGGGGTCCCCAAACTTGGCAACTTTGAGACTTGTGGACTTCAACTCCCAGAATTATTCACAATAAGTAACTAAAAGGACACTTCTTCTAACAAATCCCTTATATCAGGGGTCTCCAAACTTGGCAGCTTTAAGACTTGTGGAGCTTTGCTGGCTGGAGAATTCTGGGAGTTGAAGTCCACAAGTCTTCAAGTGGCCAAGTTTGGAGACCTCTGCTCCAGGGCAACCATATATTGAGATAATCGTCCATGACTCTTTTCTAAACTATGTGTCCATCAAATATCCTATAAGTCCTGGTTTCAATTTAATGTTGATCTTTTGTATCAATATTCTGCATTCAAACTATGTATCTTCCAGTATTTTTTTAGCGATTTTTTTACATGGCCACCAAGCGTGATACAATGTTCCTTCTAGTTCATATTTCTGGCATAAACCTCTAGTGCAGAGGTCTCATTCTTGCGGCCCGCGGGCCAATTGCGGCCCGCAGGACGATATCCTGTGGCCCCCACCGTGATATTAAAGTATAATATTAGTGTATAATATAAATATAAAGTATAATATAAAGTATAATATTATGCGGCCCAGCCTCACCCAGACTCTGCCTTCAGCGGCCCCCAAGTAAATTATGTTTGAGACCCCTGCTCTAGTGGCTTCGTGCATTCTATATATATATACCTCCACTGGCAGATCTTGGAGGCTGAACCCCTGAAGGAAAACCCCACCCCACCAGCAAAGCCTGTGGGCGGGGCAGCAGATGCACCAGGCAGCCCACCAGGAGAGAAGCTCCCCCTCCTCTGCCTGGCTCCGCCCTCCAAACTCTGCCCCACCTGCCTCCTCTGCAGAGGTGGGCAGCCTGCACAAGGGTGTGGGGAGAGCAGTGCCCCCTCCCCAGTTAGGGAAATCTAACACCCAAGAAGCTGAGAGATAAACCAGCTTGCTCTGTGCAGCCCCCAAGAATGGGCTGCTGAGGGGAAGCACGATGGGGCAGTCAGAAGTGGGATTCAGCCGGTTCTGACCCATTCTGGAGAACTGGTAGCAGAAATGTTGAGTAATTCAGAGAACCGGCCAATCCCACCTCTGACTGGCCCCACCAACCCCATCTATTCTCCGCCTCCCATTGAGTCCCAGCTGATTGGCTGGGTCTCCTTTGGTTGTCCTGCACAGGAGAATGGCGCTGGAAGGCAGGTTAGTAGGGTAGGGAGGGAATGGAGATTTTGCAGTATCTTTCCCCTGCCCACCAAGCCACGCCCACAGAATCTGTCAGCCATAGAAGCAGGGGGAGGGAAGATTAATTGGGCTTTGTGGGGAGCAGAGTTGTAATTGCAGGTATGTTCCTATCTGATGGCAAACCTCAGGTAATGAACGTTTACAAAGCAAATACAACTCAGGCAAACAAAGTCACTAATGTAAAGGAGGATTAGAGAGAGGAAGTAAACATGTGTTAGACTTTAACTAGAGATAATCGTGTTAATTACTATGCTAAACAGTAATGAAAGTTAAGCAATAACCAAAGTTAAGCAATGTTAGAGGATTACTCAAATGTGTATAAATGCAAGACTAGATTCCAATAAAGTTCATCACGATTCATTTGATCATGATCCAACACCTCGACTGCCACATCATTACAACAGGGGGAGAGTGCTGGAGGATTGAGATGGTGAAATGTAAAACTTGGGAAAACTTTCTTGACTATGTTTACTTGCTGATGGTGCAGCTGTAGTCTCTTATCTATTCAGGCCAAGGTCAACCGTCCCGGCGAACCAGATGTCTCAAACACCACCTGAAGATGCACCCACATGACATGATACACACCTCAGATTGGATGGCCAGTTTGAACTGTTGGGCGTGGGAACATTGGGATAACTTTCCATATGTGATTTTCGCACCTATTGGCATAGAAGAATAGAATAGAATTCTTCATTGGCCAAGTGTGATTGGACACACAAGGAATTTGTCTTTGGTGCAGATGCTCTCAGTGTACATAAAAGAAAAGAGACATTCGTCAAGAGTCAAGAATCATCAGGTACAACACTTAATAATGGTCATATGATACAATAAGCAATCAAATCATACTAGGAAATAGTGAATAGAATAGAATAGAATAGAATAGAATAGAATAGAATAGAATAGA